TTCCTGCTTCAAAGTCTTTTAACCCATGAGACCCTGGTTTCCTTCCTAATTACTGCAGATTTTGGATAACACTACCAGGAAAATCAGGTAGTGCTTCCAATCTCATTCCTGAGGCTGTGTCAGTCCTCAGATGGACTTCTTTTCCACGCTCCCACGGTGCAGACCTCGCTGGGGGAGGTCTGTAGTTGTTACTTCCTCGTTCTTCAGGAGGAAGGTTGCAAGGGAAGACCGGACAGTCATCAGGGAGCCAGTTTCTAGAACACCCTCAGAAAGCATCATGGTGAGTGAGACACAGGATAAGCCCACCTGGGGCAAGGCAGAACTTTTGAAAGAGACTAAGGCCACATTTGGCCTGGACTTTCTGAATGGATTGAACTCTCCTTCTGTGGCACATCCCCCTTGGCATTCCTTCTCCACGAGGACCTCAGCAGAACTGGCAGCCCACCAAGCTGGGAAAGCCTCTTGCTCAGGGGAAGGGTATAAACCTAGGAAGTCTGAGTGTTCCCCGCATCAAACCTCATACTACTTCCCAGGCAAGCCAGAGAACCAAAGCATGAGGCAGAAGGGTATTTCTCCAAACCCACCACAGTCTAAAGGGAACAGTCAAAAAGAAAGGTAATACAGTCATCCAAAAAGGTCCTTCCTAACCCATCTCAGACCCACAGCTGGATCTCAATACTTAACTCAGAAACTTCAACAGCAGTGAAATGTCTGGTTAATGAATCACCCTGTACTTCCCCCACCCCCAAACAACACCATACAGGAAATTTTGTTGCTGGTTGCTGTTTTTTGCTGAAGTTTAGCTATCTGAAATCAAGCCACTTTGTTAAAATGAAATACTGTTTGAATTATTGTGCAAATCGGAAATGGTGTTAGAAATTTAGAGCCTAGGCTTGCTTTGGCCTTGCTCATCATTCAAAGACATTTGGGCTGGTGAATTGAGGAGCAATTGTTAAGTCACCAACTGCCACTGCAGAAAAGGGGCAGCTGAGTCCGTGGAGTCACCCCCTGTGCTGTCAGTTTTGTATCCATGCCCTACTGTTTCTAAAACAGTAACTCTGGGTAGTTTAGGTCACTGAGGTTATCCATTCCCCTCTCCCTTTAAACTAGTCTGCATCGAGCCAGCAGCGAAGATGGCAAGGTTTGTTTTGTTAGTTCAGCTCACAGCAATTAATGCATAATTGTTAGTATCTTGAGTGACACAGTCGCTGCTCTTCTGCATACAGTGGTGGTATAGGAATCATGGCTTTGGTATGGACTGGTTGGGTCTGAAGCTAGTTTGGGTCTGTTTCTTTTATAAACTCCATTATGTGGTATTTTCACTGGAGAAAAAATTCAAACTGGGTAGATAATGCAGCAAATGAGACTGTTAAAAATAAAGATAATTTTTCCCTGTGCAAAACAAATTTTTCAGCTAGGATACCCTGAAAAGAAATACCCTGGGCTCCCAGCAAAAGCTGCTCCAATTCCTTTACCTTTCAGAAGGGAAACATCTTGGCCCGAAGTGCCTTGCTGTGGCTGAATTTCAATAAGCATATATTTTTCAGTTAAAAATTAACCCACTACACAGAACAGGCTGCCAGAATGTACAACTTGGAATTTGAACTCTGGTAACATATCCAGCAGCTACTGAACGTGAAAAGGGCCTCGAGGCTGTTTTGAAAAGGGACAGTTGACAAAGCTACCAGTCTCATACCTCAGCACGCCAAGCTCAGTTCCCTGACTACGGGCTGATGCACCTATGAAGAGCACAGGGCAGTGAGCCTGTTCACCATGTGTTCAATCACAGCGGGGTATCCTGTGTGACCAAGGCCAAAGGCTAAACCTGGCTGCCTTTTATTGGATGGGTGATGGAGGGGGTGGGAGACTATAGTAAAGGAGGGATAAATGGGAGGGCGCCACCAACAGAAGGCCCCCACTTCCCTCAACAAAAAGGAGGGAGACGATCCTTTTCCCTCAGGTTATCCAGAATTCCAGGGCCTCAGCCAGCTTTGCAGGAGGCGCACAGAAGCTAGATGCTTTTGGTCTGGTGGTCGTGAGCTAGAATCTGTTGCCTTTGGTTGCTTTTCACTCCACAGCAAACCCACAGGTCTCCTCCACTGCTGTCAGCAGCTTCTCATAGAGCTTCTCATAGGACTCATAAGGTGGGATGTCAATTCGGTTAAAGCTAGAAAAGGACAAAAGAACAAGAGTCAGGGCTGCACAGTGGCTCAGAAGCAAAACAGGACACTGCAGGTATGACCCATATAAGGGGGTTCTGGGTCCACACCCAGAAGTCTCCCTAAAAGAGGCGGGCACACGTGTACCCATGATCCAGGGCTGGCTGGGGGTGGGTCAAGACCCTGTTAGGAATGTTGTCTCTTCCTCCCTTATGGAGGGAATAGGTAGATTTATGAATAAATAAATAAATAAATAAATAAGAGCAAAGGTTGCTGCTGGGGCCAGTCAGTCCAGCCCTGAGATTGACTTTAAGATCAAGGACAGGGCCAGCAGGTGGCGTGGTGGTTAAGGCACTGCACTCCCACATGGCCAACTGAGGTCTGAGTCCTAGACCTGGAGGTTTACGTTTTCACTTTCTCTCTCTCTCTAGTCAAATTAAGAAATAATAATAAGTAAAATTAAATAAGAAAAAAATTCCTTTAGAAATAAAAAAAGATCAAGGACAGGCAGGAGCTGTGCACTCTCAGACACAAGCTAGTGGGGTGATGGGTGGGGGCAGACATGGAGCAAAAAGGAGGAGAAAACATCTCATCACTTGGTTTGGGAGGCTGAGGCGGGTGGGGGGGGCAGTAGCCAGTCTGTACTCTCCTAGTTGCTTTTCTGCTTCTAGTGCAGAGTTTTTCATCAACACCCAACAAATCTTAAGACCTGAAAACCAAAATATTGCCAGATTACTATTTACTGCTCATGTTAGGACAAAGGTCCCAAGTTGCTTTTTGTCTTTCTGTCTCTGGGAGTGGCCTAATTCCCATCAGTCAAGTCATCATTAACAATTTGGTGCCCATTGTTTCCTCTGGGACTTGATCTAAGGCCCAAATAGACAGTCTAGAAAATTCCTGCAGGCCAGCTAGGTGTGGTGATTAAGGCACTGGATCCCACATGGCTGACAAATCCATTTAAGTCTCAGATGTGGTGGCTTGAAAAACACACCAGGTACCTGTGCGTGTGTGCGTGCATGTTCAAAATCCTGAGAGAAAACTGGAGAAGAGAATGTGGTACTGTCACCCCCTGGGGAGGCGGTTTCCTTGCTCTCTCCAGCAAGCACATACACCTTATTCCTAATTTAAAAAGAAAGAAATTTTCTGGAAAAACAAACTATATTTCAAAACTAATAAAAATAACAAATTCCTGAAAAATAAAATGAATATCACACTTCTGATTCAATTTTTCCATGAAGAAATTAATTTCCAGTATTTATGCAAAGGCAAAGACATTCTTTAAGATACTGCTATCTTAGGCCAGCCAGTGGCATGGCAGTTGGACAACTGCATAAGGGTTCAAGTCCCAGATCTGGTGGCTTGAAAAAATGTCAGCTGCATGTACATGTGATGTGTGCCCAAAATCTCAAGGGAAGGGAGAAAGCATGACCGTGCTCCCACAGGGGTGCTTTCTCACTTTCCCATTTTCTCAGTCTCTCTCCAGTGAGTACATACACTCTGGCAAATTAAGGAAAAGAAGAAAGTGCTATCTCATAATAAATCAAACAATACAAAATTGTGATCCAGAAGATAGTAGCCTATTGAATTACTAGAAGTAAGCAAATAAGCCTGGTTGTTGACAAGAGAGTTCAGTTAAATGACGTGGCTCTCTTTCTGGAGCTTTAATGTCATCCTTTTTTCCTATCCATTTTATCCAAGCACTAAACTACTGAAGGACAAAGCCTTATGGGTAAGAGAGCCGCTGCACCAACATACCATGGGCTATAGAGACACCACAGCCACACAGACAGGGCCTTCACTTCCCACGACTGTCCTGTGAACAGCTGTATTCACCTACTTCACAGATGGGGAAAACCTGGCTAGGATACTAAGTATTTGCCCCTGGATCACACTAGTAGAGGGTGTCCCAGCCAGTATGAGAACTCCTGTCCTTGGGCTCCAAATCGGAAGCCTTCTATCCCATCATGCTGCATCTTGGCAACTTCTAGAGCTGGTTCTCCAGGAGTGGAGATGGCTGCTCCTCTTATTGAAGGGTTCTGAGACAAAGAGTATGTAAATGACTGGGCTTCTAAACTGCCAGGGAAATAATCTACAAACATTAATGTAGAAGATAAAATTTAGGGAGAAAACATTTTTCAGTAGATAAGGTGCATCTGTCACAGGCAAAGTTTGAAGAAGAAAAATGGAAACCCAGAAATGTCAAAGTGAAGACCAACAAACCCAAACTCCAATCTGTATGACCCTCCCTACTGAAGGGTGAACATACACAAACATGGACCAGGCCCCAGTGAAAATGACTTGTACCTGATGGGGTAGTAGTCACAAGCTGTTGCTGAAACACGAGCAGTAGTTAAGAACATGTCTCACAGTAAAAATAGTGGCCTAAAAGAAACTTCTGATGACCCTCCTGTGGCACCCTGCAAAGTACTTACCCCATTTGGTGCAAGTGCTATTGCTGGGTATTACCTGAAACTTTGCATAAATGAAACATGGGTATATAAATAAGAAAATAGGGGGGACCAGCAGTTAGCATAATGGCTATGTCGCTGGACTCTCATGTAAGTCGACCGCGGTTCGAGTCCCGACCTGGTGGCTTAAACTCACGCCGGGCACGTGTGCATGCATGTCCAAGATCCCGAGAGGAGAATGGAGGAGAAGGGATTGTGGCGTGGCCATCCCCCCTGGGGGGTGATTTCGCACTTTCCATCTCTCTGTCTCTGTCTTTCTCGCGAGTGCACGCACCCTATAGCGAAAATCTCTCCCCCAAAAAAGAAAATAGTTAAAAAAAAAAAATGTGGGCCAGCTGATGGCATGGTGGTAAAGGTAGCTGGATCCCATATGGCTGACTACGTGGTTTGAGTCCCAAACCCAGCAACTTGAAAAATACACCGTGTGTGTGTGTGTGTGTGTGTGTGCGTGTGCGTGTGTGCCTGTGCCCAGTATCCCAAAAGGAGAAATGGAGAAGGGACTGTAGTGTGACCACCCCCCATGAAGAGTACTTTCTCACTTTTTTTCTCGCTCTCTCTCCCCTTTTTTCCCTCCAGTAAGTGCATGTACCCTCTAGCAAATTAAAACGAAACAAAAAGTGAATGGCCGCATCTTCCAGAAACATGCTCCCAGGAGCCGGGGGCTCCTGTGGCAGCTCTTACCAGGTATGGGCCTTTGGTAGGTTGTCTGTGTTTGCGTCGATCAGGTGGATGGTGAACAGCCGGGGCCCTGCCGCGCCTGTAGAACCTTACAAGACAACATTCTAGTTAACGCACGTCAGAGGCACAGCTGTGGTGCTTTCCAACCATGTTCTTAGCCCATACAGCCTGGCCGGCTGCCCTGCCAGAGGGCTGTGTTCAGTGTCAGTGAGAGCTTCTGTCTGGCTCTAGGATACGCCAGCAATGGCCATCAGGTGACTAGGACTACCACGTGAGCCAAATGGAACTGCTGAGAGCTCTGAAACACACCCCAACAGCAAGCCACTCTGGTGGCGCATCTGTGGGTAAAATCTATTTATACTTGCCTTTTGGGATAGAGGACTTCTCAACCAATTCTGTAGGGGAGGAAGGCATCAGGTTCCACTAGACCCTCCTTTGCTCACCGTTGAGTGGGCACCAGGCTGACCAGCACCTGCTACTACTGCTGCAGAGACAGGCCATTCAGGACGACATCCTGCAGGCTGACTGATAAGGGCTGCAGGATACTGGAAAGGTGGGTGTGATGCCACTGGGCTTTGTTTAGCTAATATTTGCTCCATATATTTATAGATGTGCTTTTCAGCTTAACTAGGTTGGCAGTGCCTTTTGTTGCAGTACTAGTGGCCTGAAGGGACAATGGCAAGCAGAAGACCATCATCCTTTTTGGAGGGGAGAGGGTGTCCATGGCCACTGGTGAGTAAGTGCAGTACACCCTGCTGTGACACCTGGGGAGGGTGGTGGCTCCTCCCCCTTTCAGACCACAACCACCAAGCCTCATCTCCCAGATAGCTGGGGCAGACTGTGCCTAGGGTGCTTCTGTGGAAACCTCCCACTGGACCCTCAACTGTGTCCCTGAGACTGGCTTCCTTGTAATCAATGGACCTGGCTCTTGCCCTGCCCTTGAGCAACCAGCATTCACAGGCCCCACCATCAATAGCTACTCAGTGAACTGCCAAGAGGCCCCTGGCCTATGTCTGGCCCCAATTGCCTTCTCATACAGGGATATTCAGTTAAAACCCATCTCAATATGGAGGATACTGCTAAGGTCCTTACCACAGCAGGGATATTTTCTAAACAGGAATGTTGAGCAAGTAGGCCTAGCTGAGGGAAGAGAACAGTGATGCAATGAGAAAAAACAAGATTTGAGCCATGAAATCTGGGCTCCTACTTGGGCTTACCACTCCCCACCTAACTATTACTTCATAGGGGGTAAAAATTAATCCCATGACTTCAGAGTTTCAGTTCCTGGTCTGTGTAATGTGGACAATTCCTGCCCAGTCAGGCTCTCCTGGATGTGAGAATTGAATGAGAAAGTACTTTGTGAATTACAAAATACTAACAAGCATTAGGGGGAGTTGTGCTTGTGAGGGAAAAAGCAAAGGGGTCCAGTTGGTCAAGCCGATGGAGGCTCTACACACAAGGAGTGCTCAGCAGACACCTTTCCTCCCTGCAGGGCCCCCTCAGCAATTCCATAGGCAGAGGTCACCCTGGGAAAGAATAAGTACCTCATTACCAAAGCCCAGTGAAATAGGATTACCCTCTGAACTCGCAAGCTATCTGTATGTCTATTAGGATTTCGAGTTCAATTAGCTAAATTTCAGTACACGAACATCCTTTACTTTACTCCTCCCAACTATCAGCAGCAACAATCCCTCTAAACCTGAGATGACGCATGAGGGGACTTTGGAAAGTTCATAGAAAATGTGTACTATGGGGCCAGCACGTGGTGTAGTGATTAAGGTGCTGGATTCCCACATGGATGACCATGATTCGGTCAGCCCAGCAGCTTGCGCGTGTTCGCTCGCGCGTTCTCTCTCTCTCTGATAAATACATGTGCCCTATAGCAAATTAAATAAAATATAAAATTAAATAATTATTTTTTTTAAAAAAAAAGAAAATGTGCATTGTGAAAGAATTGTGCAAGGGTTTCAAATGTTTTGCACCAAAATAATTACACCATTTTGCTTCCATGGTGTGGTCAGTAACACTGCAGACTGTGGAGCTGAAAGCCACATGCTGACAGCAGTTCAAGTCTCCAGCCCTGAAACAGCTAAAAACACCTGAAACGTGCCAAGTGCAGACTTGTGCCCAGGATCCTGGTGGGCTGGAGGACAGGAGGAAATGCTGTGACTGAGCCCTACAGAGGGTGCTTCTCTGTTCTCGTGGTCCCTTACTTTTGTGTGCATGCACATGTTCTATCATGAATTTAAAAATAAAAAGAAAGTTGTACTTTCATTCTATTTCCACAAACTTTTTGAAGCACCCACCTTTCACCGTCTGACCTACAGGTAGGTTAAGATCATTCCCAAGGGACTCCATCATGCGTACAGTGACATCAGGGGCTTAAACAGAGTGAGCATGACAACCACTTCCTTCTTTGTGGTTTGGGACTCATTGGGGGTTCACGTGCAGCTTCAAGGTATGGGGCCATAGAGGCTGGAGGGACTCTCCTAGTACTCAATACCTAGGGTGTGGGGTAAGCAGGCCTTGCAGAGATGGAAAACGATGGGCCACCCCAGACACCACAAAGAACCCTGCTGGCCTAATTCTCTTAGATTTTTGAGAGCAGTGAGGTAGCATGAAGCCAGGTTCCCTAAAGTGGTTCTATGGTCTTCACTTAGCAGGTGAGCACCTCTGTAGACATTCATTGTCCCAACTAATTACATTGTTTCCAGTAGACATTTCAGACCCTACCACATCCAGTCTTGCTCTCTTGGCGTAGACAGATCCTGCCCAGAGCATACATATAATTAAATATACCCCCGCCTCCATATCAGTCACCTTGTAAAGCCTTGAAGCCTTGGAGAGGGACTCGAGTTGATCCAGTTACAAACTGCAAGAGTCTGGCCCTCCTTTCCTCATCAAAGGTCTCCACTGCTTGCCAGAACCACCTGACGATGTTGCTGTCAGCTACACAATGCTTCAGCCGCGTGTTTGACTTCCAATCATTCAAGTCTATTTTATCCAGGCCACCTATTATTAACTGTTAAGGCATTTAAAGGCGAGTTATTTCCAAAATGTATGAACAATGTCTTGACATGCCTCCTAGGGCTCTAATGTACGAAAGGAGTTAAAGACCAGGTTCCCAAAGCAAAGCAGCAGCTATGTTAAAATAAACTAGACAGATATATAGACAGGAATAACAGGCAGACAGTCGGCCTAAAGCATCAAGCTTCAGTCTTTCTGTGTGGCCACCTCCAGCCTGGTTTTGGAACCACAGTCTCTCATGCTACAATATGATATTATTTTATAATCAAACTCGGTGTTTTTGCTTTGAATGAATATCAAAGAATCAGCCAACAATACTTAACAGAGCTGAGTGTAAAAAAGCCTCACTGGGACCAGCAGATGGGATCATGGTTATGTCGCTGGGCTCCCACATAGTTGACCGCGGTTCGAGTTCCAGACCCAACATGTGTGTATGTGCCCAAAATCCCAAAAGGAGAATGGATTACAGCATGGCCGTCCCCCCTGGTGGGTGATTTCTTGCTTTCTGTCTCTCTGGCAAGCACACACTTGCTATAGCAAAAACCTCTTTTGAAAAAAAGCTGCATTACAACAGTCCCCCAGGACTCCCAAGATAGCTGGAGTTAAAGTCTGAAGAAAGGGAATCCAACAAGAGTCACATGGGGTTGGGCTAATTGGAGCGAATTTCCACAACTTGTTGAAAAGGATCACTCCAGGAACAGCCCCACAGTCTAGTGGTTAAAGAAGCTGGATGCCACATGGCTAACCACAGTTCAAATCTCAGCCCCAGTGGCTTGAAAAAAATGTAACAGGCACATGTGTGTCCCAAATCCCAAGAGGATGGAGAAATGGAGAAGGCACTGCAGTGTGCTTTTCCCCTCTGTCTGTCTCTTGCTGGTGAGCACACATAGTCTCTGTCAATTAAGACAAAGAAGAACGGAAAAAAAGATCACTCCAGAACTCCTGGCCTGCCCTAGGGAGCTTTCAGGAGCTTTCACCAGTTTTTGGCGCCCCCTGGTGGTAGAAAGACCAGAGAACTATCTGGAAGCTGGAGCTGTTTGGCACCAGAGGTGGACAGGAATGAATGACTCACTATGTTCAAGTACGTGAAGTGTGATTAGAGGAAACAGTCACACCGTGTTCTTAGTCTAATAATAGCCATGATAAAAGCAAGAAGTTGATGCTTGGGGAAATTTTGGTTACAGACAAGGGGAAATTTTGGTTATAAAGACAAGGTTATTTCCTTGATCTAAAGTGACGATATAAGAAATGGCTAGAAATCCTGAACACAGAAGTTTCAAGACAACTCAAGCAATTCTGGAGAATTATCCAGATTCGCTGCCATTAAGTGGACACCCTGCCTGTTACAAACTGGAACAGACATCCTCGCTCCCCTTCTCACTCCGGCCCTGACTCTTCATTTCTTCTAGGAATCCCAGAAACCTCCTAGGCTTGCCAAAAAAGAGCCTCACCCCACATCAGGGATCTAAAACAGGCAAGCACTGGCCACATCTGAACCCTGGATTCCTGAGTAGATTCAGTACATAGAGTACGTACCTCTAGTTCCTTCTGGTCAAAAGGCTTCAGTAGGTGTTGAGGAATGAGTTCATTAAATCCTTTCTGAAGAGCTAAGAACTGAGCTTCGATTCCTCTCATAAACCTCCAATTTACATACAACCTGAAAGAGAAAGCATCACAGGTTGGAAGCAGTACTAAGTGGGTCACCAAAGCACTGTCTTCTAGCGACACCCAGTGGCACGATGCAGCAAACCTGTAGGGCACAAGCAACCACTGGGCACAGCGCCCAGATCTTTGGAGAAAAAAAGACAAAAACGCTGGCATTAAAAAAAAAAAAAAAAAAATCCCTCCCATGTGACAAAAAACCCGCCTGGTGGTACATTTGGTAACAAACTGAACCACAGTGTCGGAAGCACTGTGGCTGGCTGACTGCAGACTCAGATCCATGGATCAGTATGAAACACACCACGCAAGCAAACACATGTGCCCAAGATCCTGATGAGCTGAAAGGCCAGAGAAAGAGGGCAGCAGTGTGATGAGACCCAGATGAGGTTGTTTTTCTCTCTCTCTGTCTTCTGCATACATGTGCGCAAGCTTTCTATCATGAATAAAATAAAAACTTTAAAAACCCTATAATTTTGGGGATAAGCAGATGGCATTATAGTTATGTCACTGGACTACCCTATGGCTGACTGCCGTTTGAGTCCCGGACCTGGTGGCTTGAAACTTACACCAGGTGCGTGTGTATGCATGCCCAAAATCATGAGAAGAGAATGGAAGAGAAGAGATTGTGGTGTGGCCATATCTGCTGAGAGGTGATCTCTCACTTTCTTCCTGTTTCTGTCTCTCCACTAAGTGCATGCACCCTATAGCAAAAATATCTTTTAAAAAGATGGGAGGGGGGGGAGGAACCAGCAAACAGAGTAATGATTACATCACTGGACTCCGTGGTTCAAGTCTTGGACCCAGTGGCTTAAAACTCACACCAGGCACATGTGCATGCGTGCCCAAGATCCCAAGAGGAGAACAGAGAAAGGATTGCAGTGGGGCCACTGCCCTGGAGGGTGATTTCTCACTTTCTGTCTGTCTCTAGTGAGCACATGTGTCCTCTAGCAAAAATCTTTCCCTTGAAAAAATACAAACGAAGAAACAAAAAGAAGCTACATATAATTTTTAAAAAATGAATTGCCACATGCCCTTATACATTCCGGTTCATTACTAAAAATGGCAGTTGGATTTAACCTGCCCCATTTCAGCAACTGCCAAAATTTAACAGTACATTTGAAAGTAAAACACAGGACAGTATGAGGATGAGGCATGGGTCTGGGCACATGGGTGTGCCCGCGTTTCGGAATTTCCAATGCAAGTGACTCATCCCTTATGGTGATTTGCCTTGTGTGGGAAGTAGAAGACAGACCCTGAGGGAGCAGGCTTCTGAGATTGAGAGCAAGGCCTCTAGGTCTGCTGCCACTCTCGGTGCTCATCACCAGAATCGGGCAGTCACTTGAAAATCCCTCCTCCACTTGGGCCCTGTCCCCGCTAAGCAGAGTCCCTGCACTTGCTGAGCTGGTGGTGTCAGAAAGCCGCTGCTAGTGCAATTCTAGTCACGGGTGCCACAGGGGAAAGCTAAGCCTCATGCAGTGAAGGAGCTACAACGATCTGCACGTGACCCTGCCATGGCCAGGACAACTCTAAGCATTGGCCACTCCCCCGGACAACCTCCCGCCAAGGCTGCCCTGGACATTACCGGACATATTCTTTCTTGTTCTCCTCTGTGACAGGCACGTTTCTGCCATTAGGTTTCAGTTCGTGCTGAAGAATCCGCCCGAAAGCATTGTGCTCGACGCAGAAAGTGTGATCCAGCACCGGGGTGATGTCATTCTCTCTGTTGGGGTAGGACAGAGGACAGTGTCAGCTACACCTCTGCCACCATGGGGCCATGGATGGGACACTGAATGGAACCACCAGTAAGGAGAGAGTGCTGCATTTGCCGCCTGCCTGACCCAGAGCTACAAGAGAGAAGAGGGCGGTGCAGGTGGACACCAGGCCAGGCAGTCAGAAGAGCAGTGGGCGCTGAGACTGGCAGAGCCACAGCTCTGGGTCCAGCTGTCCCTAGTTCCTGGCTCTCTCATCCACAGGGCCAGGGGGCATCGCCGTTCTAGCCTGTGATTTGTGAGACACAGCACCTAACTGCTCTTTCTGCTGCCTGTGATAGCAAGGTGGGAACTATGAAGAGGTAACTGAGTCAAACGGAAGGCAACTCCAAGAAAGACGAAGAAAAATCGTTTCCCCTTTCTAAGGCAACTCTTTCAAATGTATTTATTGGCTTAAACAAAACAAAACAAAAAAAAACATGTGAAAGTTGAAACTGGCTTTTTGTTGAGGGGTGGGTTTATACAGTCTACCCATATTGCAAGCGTCCTGCCTTAGCCTCCCAAGTAGCTAGGACTCCAGGTGTATGCACGGCACTTGGTTTGGGTGGGCTGGGAATCGAAACGAGGCCTCCCACGTAGCTGTAGTTGCCAGTCTGCGCCACCATGACTGGGACCAGAAGTGACTTTTTAAATCTGCCATGTTTCTTAAGACACAAAGTGAGAGATTTGCCGCAGGGCGGGGGCTCCACCTCCTCGTCAGCTCATCTACCAGCTTTCCTTCCTTGGTGGAAGTCTTCATTTCCATGAAATCAGCTCTCCCACAGGACCCATGGCACCTACGAAAGCCGCTGCTAGTGCAATTCTAGTCACGGGTGCCACAGGGGAAAGCTAAGCCTCATGCAGTGAAGGAGCTACAACGATCTGCACGTGACCCTGCCATGGCCAGGACAACTCTAAGCATTGGCCACTCCCCCGGACAACCTCCCGCCAAGGCTGCCCTGGACATTACCGGACATATTCTTTCTTGTTCTCCTCTGTGACAGGCACGTTTCTGCCATTAGGTTTCAGTTCGTGCTGAAGAATCCGCCCGAAAGCATTGTGCTCGACGCAGAAAGTGTGATCCAGCACCGGGGTGATGTCATTCTCTCTGTTGGGGTAGGACAGAGGACAGTGTCAGCTACACCTCTGCCACCATGGGGCCATGGATGGGACACTGAATGGAACCACCAGTAAGGAGAGAGTGCTGCATTTGCCGCCTGCCTGACCCAGAGCTACAAGAGAGAAGAGGGCGGTGCAGGTGGACCCCGGGCCAGGCAGGGCAGAAGAGCAGTGGGCACTGAGACTGGCAGAGCCACAGCTCTGGGTCCAGCTGTCCCTAGTTCCTGGCTCTCTCATCCACAGGGCCAGGGGGCATCGCCGTTCTAGCCTGTGATTTGTGAGACACAGCACCTAACTGCTCTTTCTGCTGCCTGTGATAGCAAGGTGGGAACTATGAAGAGGTAACTGAGTCAAACGGAAGGCAACTCCAAGAAAGACGAAGAAAAATCGTTACCCCTTTCTAAGGCAACTCTTTCAAATGTATTTATTGGCTTAAACAAAACAAACAAAAAAAACATGTGAAAGTTGAAACTGGCTTTTTGTTGAGGGGTGGGTTTATACAGAGTCTACCCATATTGCAAGCGTCCTGCCTTAGCCTCCCAAGTAGCTAGGACTCCAGGTGTATGCACGGCACTTGGTTTGGGTGGGCTGGGAATCGAAACGAGGCCTCCCACGTAGCTGTAGTTGCCAGTCTGCGCCACCATGACTGGGACCAGAAGTGACTTTTTAAATCTGCCATGTTTCTTAAGACACAAAGTGAGAGATTTGCCGCAGGGCGGGGGCTCCACCTCCTCGTCAGCTCATCTACCAGCTTTCCTTCCTTGGTGGAAGTCTTCATTTCCATGAAATCAGCTCTCCCACAGGACCCATGGCACCTACGTAACACCCCATTGCTGGACCTCCTGCAGTGTTTAGGGTCATGCTAGAGCAAAGGGAACTAACAGGAATTTGTTTTGCTACATTCTCGGCCCCCTCTAGAGATAACCAGAGATCTAGGGTGTCTCTCTCTCTCCCTCTCCCTCTCACATGGACACACTGAAACATGGGACCAGCCTGCTGGCATCTGTGATCACACCTTCATAATTCAAGGAAACAACAAAAGAAACAAGGCCATGAGGAGAAAATGGCCAAATGTCATTAGGAAAATAAGTCAACTGAGTTTTGTCAAGTCTGCTTTTTTGTTTCTGGCTGTAATACAATGTCTTCTTTACTTTTCTTCTCCAATTTCGCACTTATCTTCCAAATACATACACATGTGCATGCGCGTACACCCCCCCACACACACACAGAAACAAAGGTAGTGGCGTACACAGAGACAGCTGACTGTTTTTAAAGTGAGCAGTGAGTCGGTACTTACAGAATCCACACTAAGCTCTTATGTAGTTCTGGGTCCACTGATTCCAAATCAGAGAGCTGGATGGGTTTTCCCAGTAGCTGCTTATAGAAAGGAACCGTGAAGCCCCCATTTATGTAGTGTCCATGGAACACAGCCAGACCCATGATTCGACCCACAAAGTGAAAATAAGACAAATGGTCCTGTAGGGGGCAGCAGAAAACAAGAATTCATCAAGAAAATGACCAGCCAATGGGGATATCTTTTGCTTGTTCCCAGCTTATTGTGAGAACTGTCCCAGTGTCCCATGGACAGCCAGGCACAGGCTGAGTTATTCACAGGATAGCTCATGACCAAATGAAGCATGGCTGCTTGGAAGTCGAAACGTGGAGTGTGTCTTGTATGAGATGGACAACTTTATGTACTTTTAGATCTAACACTCTCTCCAAAATTGCTACATAACTTGCATGGGCCCAGGGCAAGATGAAAATGCAGAGCCTCTTCTTTAGATTATTGAGAACACCAGCATGGTGACAGCTGAGGATCAAAGCTGACACAGTGTGGGGCCTTGGCCACTGCACAGGCTGCACACCCAGACTGCTGGTCCCGTAGCTCCTTCCTATCGCACGCAAAAGAAATGAAGAGTACAGGGCAATTCCCCTTCTTTCTCTGCCACCCCTCCCACAATCCCCCAAGAACAAAAGAGAAGAAATCCTAAAATGGGGGAGGGGATGTAAAAAGGAACACAGAAAAAGATGCATGCACAAGCCAAGTGAAAGAACCATTCTATAACTACAACAGTCTGGTTTGTTGCTTATTTGTTTTTTAAAGATAGGATCTCACTGTCATGATCCTTCTGCTTCAGCCTCCCAGCGGGGACTACAGATATGTGCCACACACCTACCACTTTTTTGGCCAGGGTCTTGCTACACTGTCCCGCCAGCCTCAAGCTCACGATCCTCCTTTCTCCTCCTGAGTTGCTGGGATTACAGGCATGCACCACCATACCCAGCTTGTCAGAACTGAACCCGGGCTGTCCATGTGGCCCAGCCTGCAGAGTACGGTGTCCTACCAGCATACACCACCATGGCTGGGCCCTTGTTCTCATTCTTAACTAAAAATATGAGAACTTCATGTTTCTACTTTAAAGTTTGAATTTTTTAAAAAATTTTTACTATAGGGCACTTGCGCTCACCAGACAGACAGAGAGAGACATAGAGACAGAAAGCGAGAAATCAGCCTCCAGAGGAGGGCCACAGTGCAATCCCCTCTCTTCCATTATCTTGGGGCTTCGGGCATATGCACATGCACCGGGCGTGAGTTTCAAGCTTCTGGGTCAGGGGCTCAAATCATGTCAGTCATGTGGGAGTTCAGCAAAATAACCATTATGCCATTTGCTGATCCCCTTTCAGGTTTGAATTTTTTTTCCCACAGTGACCAGTTGGCATATAGTTATAGTTTGTCACTCCACAAAAGTAGTAGAGGAACCAAGACTCCTTGTTATCACACACAAAAAATAAAGCTTATTTTATTTATTTATTTATTTATTTTTTGGGGTGAGAGGTTTTTGCCATAGGGTGCGTGCGCTCACCAGACAGACAGAGACAGACAGAAAGTGAGAAATCACCCCCCAGAGGAGATGGCCACGCTGCAATCCCTTCTCCTCCATTCTCCTCTCGGGATCTTGGGCACCCACGCACACGCGCCCAGCATGAGTTTTGAGCCACCGGGTCTGGGACTGGAACTGCGGTTGACCACATGGGAGTCCAGCGACATAGCCATTACGCTAACTGCTGGTCCCAATAAAGCTTATTTTTAAGAAAACTCTGAGTAACCAAAGCCAAGCAGTGGCACTAGAGTAGCCCAGCTTTGTATGACAGGTGAAGGTTTGAATTTAAATCTCTCAAAAAATTCATCAAAACTTTGCTTCTATGTTGGTAAAGGGTTCTTCTACATTTGAATGCTGAGGCAGAGCTTTGTCTCTGACTTGCCTTGGTGGCCCTTTGCACAGCACTAACAAAAGACATGGCCCCACAGGAAGAGCACCCCATGGGCCTGCCATACAGCATTGGACAAGTCACTCAAACACTGCTCATTTCCTCATCTCTAAGCTAAGCATCTGTAGTCCAGCTATGGTGATGCTGGTGGTGGGGCACCACTGTGCAATGCTGGACTCTCATGGTAGGCCTTGGTTCAGATCTAGGTTGACCTAAACACATCAGGCACACCTGTGCCCATGATCCTGGCTGCCTGGAAGGCCCCTGGGGGCATAGCAGGGCAGCAAGGTGAGACCCTGTTGAGGGTACTCGTCCTTGTCTGTCTGTCTCTCAGGAAAGAAAGAAAACAAGCATTTGGTGTTAAACAGTGAACTATAGAAACATTATAATTTTGACCAGGAGGATGAGCTTTGTAACTCAGTTCTCAGAATGACACCTCACAATTTTGCTCATCATACCAAATTCCTTCTCACAGGGCGATGAAGTGCTCTGAGTGTACGAGCAGTTCCACTTACCTCTTTTTTTTTAATAATAATTTTTTATTTAACTTTACTTGTCTGTTTTTTGTTTATTTATTTATTTAAATTTGACTAGAGAGTGACAGAGAGAGAGAAAGAAAGAGAGAGAGAGAGAGAAAGAGAGGGAATCTGAGAAAGCCAGCCGTCAGGTCCAGGACTTGAACCACAGTCAGTCATGTGGGAGTCCAGTGCCCTTAACTACCATGCCACCTGTTGGCATCTCCACTTCCCTCTTATTCTCCTTAGAAACAACATACCCACTGGTTCTAAGCTCTAAAAACAAGAGACTGAAATTATCTATCAATTTAGCCCTCACCCTACTTTTTAATGTTTTATTTACCATAGTCTTTCATTAAGTCTGCAACAAATACACCAAGAATTGAGATTGAACGTGAAAAATATATCCTAAAAATTCTCCAACCAAATTCCCTACCTCTTTATTCATTAATACTTACAGGATTGATTGAAGAATCTGGGTTGATTTGCAACATGTAAATATTGTCCGTAGAATACTGGAAGAGTCCATAATAGGGATTCAACATTTCATGGCACAACAGATAAAGCCACTCTCTAGAAACAAAAACAATTACCAAATTTATATTTTAAAAATTCTAGTTTTACATCTTAATGAAAGGATTGATTTGCTATGTGCTAGAAGGCCGAAATGCTAAGAGGTAAAATGAGCCATGGGTAAGGATACCTGGCTCCGAGAGGATGCAATTTATAGAGACTAGGCAAATAAGCTAACAAACTTCACTGTATTCAGAAGAGCATCCAGAAGCAACTCATGGATATCCAGTTATGTTCCTGGCCACATAATGACCAAAACTCCAACAAATCTGTAGCTAAGAAAGAACTGAGATCGGCTAGAATTAGAAAAAGTACAGTATTCTCAGCATTGTACTTATTAGCTTTATTACACGTCAGCTAAGATTTTCTCTGATACTTTGCAAAGATTGAAATCTCAGATGGTGATGTGGTATTAACTGATTTTTTCCTTGGGTGGGGGCGGTTTGCTATAGGGCTCATGCGCTAGCCAGAAAGACAGAGAGAGAGAGACAGAAAGCGAGAAATCATTCCCCAGGGGGGATGGCCACGCCACAATCTCTTTTCCTCCATTGTTCTCTCGGGATCTTGGGCATGCACGCACACACGCCCGGTGTGAGTTTAAGCCACCGGGTCCATGACTCGAACCGTGGCTGACTACATGAAAGTCCAGTGACATAGCCATTATGCCAACTCCTGGCCCCACTATTAACTGATTTAAAATGCAGTAGAACACAGTATACTCCTGCTTTAACAACTTAAGTATGAGGATTCTGCATCATTTTCATTTTTTTGTGCTTATTTCTAGTTTTATAATTTTCTACAGTAAAATCTTTCAAGTAAAGAGGAAACATCTCAAAGTCTAGGGAGATAGATGAGGAACTGTTGAAGAATGACTTTAGTCCTTCACAGTTTTCTGTCAAATTTTTGTTTTTCACCATAATTATCACTTTTATAACATTAAAAACTAGTTTTAACCTTAAAAACATTAATGCTAAAATTTTTTTGTAAGAATTATTTTATTGGAACCAGGAGTTAGCGTAATGGCTATGTCGCTGGACTCCCATGTAGTTGACCGCGGTTCGAGTCCCGGATCCGGTGGCTTAAACTCATGCCAGGCACGTGTGCATGTGTGCCCAAGATCCCAAGAGGAGAATGGAGGAGAAGGGACTGCAGTGTGGCCACGCACCTGGGGGGAGATTTCTTGCTTTCTGTCTCTCTGTTTCTCTCTTTCTGGCGAGTGCACGTGCCCTATAGCGAAAACCTCTCAAAAAAAAGAGAAAAAAAAAGAATTATTTTATTCAACTTTATTTATTTATTTAAATTTGACTAGAGTGGGACAGAATGAGAGAGAGAAAAAAAAAATGAGAAAGCAAAACACCAGGTCCAGGACTTGAACCATGGTCAGCCATGTGGGAGTCCAACACCCTTAACCACCATGCCACCTGCCACATCCAATGCTAAGAGTTTTAAAATTTGGGTGCAGAATATGAGTTGTATATCATTTTCTGAATTTCTTTAGTGTCTGAATCACTTTAATAAAAAATGAAACTTCAAAATCAAAAACAAAACAAAAGCACTTTAAACAAAAGACACATGATCCCATAGCTATAGTCGGGCTGTGTTAAGCCCAGGTATAGGAGGACTGTTATACAAAGACCCGTGGCAGGTCTAATAAGCATTGATTCTTTCTAAATCAAAACTCCTTTCAAATGGATAAGTTTCATTAGATGGTCCCAATTTTATTCTTCTAAACAGAAAGACATATAAATGAGACATTTAAAGATAAACATAAATGCAAATAATTTGTCTAAGAAAATTTTAATATACAAAAAAAGATCAGACCAAGACAAAGCTGTATATCATACTTGAAAGAACAGAAAAGTACTGCCAAAGAGATGAGACTCCAAATTCATTTTTTAATTTTGCCAGAAGACATGTGTGCTCATCAGAAAGAGGCAGAGAGAGAGAAAGAGTGAGAAAGCACCCCCTCCCCATAGCATATGGTTACACTGCAATCTCTTCTCCTTCATCTCTTTCTTCTTTCCAGATTTTGGGCATGCATACTCATCTGGTGTGTTCCTCAAGCTGCTGGGTCTGAGACTCTAATGGTACAATGGGACGTGTGGGATCCATCCATCCTAATCACCATGCTACTGGCTGGCCCCCTGACTCCAAATCTTATAGTCTCTTTACTAAAAAGACAAGTTCTCAACTACAGTTGAGTTTGCATTTGAGAAGAACCTTCTCCACACAAGCCAAGAGCCTATGACTATCCAGACAGGAAGCATTTTTTAAAAAGCAGACATCTTGACCAAGCCACACACAGGCAGAAGTCCATTTAGGATTGTCTAGAAGTCGTAAGGGAAGAGCTCAGTATACAGGCAAGAGAGAAGATACATGGTTTCAGGACCAAACACTGGAAAAATTAGTGTAGAGACTGATTCTCACAGACCAAATAACAAATACACACACACACACACACATATAACACATGTATAATTTAAATGTTGTACAATTTCCTGAGATAGATGTGATCCTATTCAGGTACCAGGAAAACTGAGGGGTGAAATAACAATGCAAGATCAAAGTGAGGTGGGAGAAAGCCAGAAAATGGAAGTAGAAAAGGGAACTAGAGTATCTGCCTATGTGACTAGATTAAAAAACCCCTGATCACACAGAAATTCCCTGACAAAAGTAAGATAGGTATGAGATTAATAGGGAATGTCTAGTTGATTAAATCACATTTGATATAGCCAATCAGATGAATCAGTAGACCCAGCCGCATTTGATAGAGCCAATGAGATGAGAATAATCAGTGGGCCTAGTCAATGATCAACCAACGTGACCTAAATTTAAAAATCATAAACTTCACAGAAGATTAATGCTGAGGTCTTTTGAGCCACTCTTTTTTTTTTTTTTTTGCTATAGGGTGCGTGCGCTCGCCAGCCAGCCAGAGACAGAGAGACAGAAAGCAAGAAATCATCCCCCAGGGGGCATGGCCATGCCGCAATCCCTTCTCCTCCATTCTCCTCTCGGGATCTTGGGCACACATGAACACGCGCCCGGCATGAGTTTAAGCCACCGGGTCTGGGACGCGAACTGCGGTCTACTACATGGGAGTCCAGCGACATAGCCTTTACGCTAACTGCTGGTCCCTTGAGCCACTCTTTATCTGTCCTCTCAGGGTTGCTCCTATCCCTTGGAAGTACTTTCACTTTTATTTAATAAACTACCTTTTCCTTTTGCTATTGGTGTGTACTGCTCAATTCTTTGTCCAAAACACCAAGAACCTGGATGTTGTTACTGAAGCCTTCCCACACAAAAGTAAAGGTGTAAGAACAAGAATTCACTGCTCTTTCCATGACACCATCATGTTACTCAAGAGATCTACACAAAGACTTATTTCCATGCAGAAGACTTGACTAGGGAACAAGGCAAAAGGAACGTAACTCCTATCAAACAAAACCATGTTATTCACATGTGTACCTAAGGATGTGTTATATCAGCCATCCAAAAGAATAATGGTAAATTGAAATAGTTTGAGACACTGAACTCTTGAGATATTTTAGCCTATAAAAGAAAAATAGATGAGAACTTACAAGTAACTTGATTTTAATTGTTAGAACAAGTGAATGAAAGACCCCAGGTAGCATGATGGCTGGGGTGCTGGTCTCCAACATAGCCAACCACGATTTGAGTTTGGACCCGGTGGCTTGAAAATCAGGCTGGATGCTTGTGTGTGTACATGCCAAGAATCCCAGGAGGAGAATGGAAGAAAGAGGATTACAACATGACCATCTCCCTGGGGAGTGATTTCTCACTTTCCCTCTCTCTTCCTCTGTCTCTCTCTAGTAAGCAAAGCACCCATGAGAAAAACCTAAGCCAACCACGATTTGAGTTTGGACCCGGTGGCTTGAAAATCAGGCTGGATGCTTGTGTGTGTACATGCCAAGAATCCCAGGAGGAGAATGGAAGAAAGAGGATTACAACATGACCATCTCCCTGGGGAGTGATTTCTCACTTTCCCTCTCTCTTCCTCTGTCTCTCTCTAGTAAGCAAAGCACCCATGAGAAAAACCTAAAAAAATAAGATTTCTCACTTTCCCTCTCTTTTCCTCTGTCGCTCTCTAGTAAGCATAGCACCCATGAGAAAAACCTAAAAAATAATAATAATAATAAAAAAGAGTAAGTGAATGAATACATAGGAAGATTCTCATCTGCAAAAGGGGGACAGAAAGGCTAAGCCTCTTGCCTGGAAACAGAATTAGTGTTATCAAGGACAGAAAGTAGTTACATTTTTGCCAAAAGAAAGACAGCTTCTACAATTAAGATCAGTAATATAAAGTAATAAACTTGGGAGAATCTTGAAAGGAAAAATGTATCTGTGGAAAGGCAGTCCCAGAGTGAGCTCACTGGTAGGAAAATGCAGGCTTTTCCACACCACTTATCCCAGATGGATTTGGGAACAACTGAGGGGCAGTAGGGTGAGATAAGGAAATTAGATGGATAGGAGGGAGTTAGGAAAAGGCCAAAGGGCTAATCGCAACACTGTAAGGCTGAGAGTTTGTGTTTTCTAAATGGTGACTGAGCAAGGCTCTGCTATTCAGATTTCTCAAAATAGAGCCAATATTACTGTCCTCATAGGAATATAAATAAAGCCTCCTCTGTAGCCTCTACAAAAGTTGTGCTTTACATTTATTTGCATAATTCTTTAACATTCATTTTTAACTGGCACATAATGGTTGTACATATTTAAGGGGTACGGTGTGATTTTTCAGTATATAACGTGTACAGATCAAATTTGGGTTAATTAGCATTTTCATTACTTCAAACATTGATCATTACTTTGTGTTGGGATAATGGGAACACTCAAAATCCACCCTGTTAGCTATTTTGACATATAAGGTAAATTATTAACTGTAGTTACCCTATTATGCTATAGAACACTACAACTTTTTCTTGCTAACTATAATTTTATACCTGTTAGCCAATATCTCCTTGTCCTCTCTATCTTCCTACCCTTCCCAGCCTCTTTTCTCTTTTCTAAGAAGTCAACTTTTTTCTTTTCCATGTGTGAGGGAGAACATACTTGTATAATTCTTTGATCTATGCCTGCACTTCATCAGACTGAGAATTCCTCTGTGAGGGAGTGGAGGGGACAGAGAGCATGTTACTTTGCCCACTGTTGTGTCCTCATACCTGGTACATGGCAGGGTCCAATATTTAACAGGCAATGAATAAATACAGTTCTTACAGGAGCATAGAAATTTCAGGGGTGCTCTCCCTTATGAAGATTCAAACATATGACAGATATACTGATTTAAATTATTTTGTTTATACTTTATTATAATGCAGTTCAATAGATGAGTGTTATGGCAATTGAAAAAACAAAACAAAACCAATCTGAGGCACTGAAGACAAATTGAGAAAATCTCCCAGAAAATGGTGTGTGTGTGGGGGGGAGGTAACAAAGAGAAGAGAAATCAAACCAAAAAGGAGACACAGAGGTCCAAGCCAGGGAATTGGACATCTCATAATGGGCATTTTACAAAAAGCAAGGATAGGGAGGAGGGACCAGCAGTTAGTATAATGGCCATGTTGCTGGACTCCCACATAGTGGACTGCGGTTCGCATCCCGGACCTGGTGGCTTAGAACTCACGCCGGGCGCGTGTGCGTGCGTGCCCAAGATCCCAAGAGGAGAATGGAGAAGAAGGGATTGCGGTGTGGCCATCCCCCCTGGGGGGTGATTTCTCGCTTTCTGTCTCTCTGACTCTGTCTGTCTGGCGAGCACATGCACCCTATAGCGAAAACCTCTCCAAAAAAAAAAGCAAGGATAGGGGGGAGAGGAAATGATCAGATGTAAAATTCACTCCTTCAGCAGATATCTGTGGAGACGAGTGCTCCCTATGTGTTAGGTGCTGCTCTAGGAACTAAGGATTCAGCTGTGAGCGAGCCATAATACTGCCTGTAGCAGTCTGTCTTTGGGAATGCAGGAGAGACAGACATCACACAGCACAACCTGCCAGGTAGTGACAGGCCCAATTTAGAAAGTAGTCAGGGAAGGCCTTTGGGAGGCGATGTACAGGCAGAGACTGGAGGGAGCTGATGAAATGAGCTGCCTAATGATCTGGAGGAGAGCAGTTCAGGAAGAGGGAACATAGAAGGCCACAGCTGGGACAGGACTAGACCTATCTAAGGAGAAGGGGTAGTGGGCTTGTCAGAGATATAATGAGTAACACTGTCCTAGAGGTTTTGAAGTTTAAGGGACAATAAAGACAAATGCAAGAGGACTTTTAGAAGTTCATGGAAAAACAGAATTCAAAGTATGAGTTTATTTTAATGCAAAAAAAAGTTAAAATCCATGAATAGCTTTCTCATAATATGCATTTTCCATGAGCCTGGTTAAAAAGAAAAAGAAGAAATTCTTGGAAAAGTAAAATGGTAAAATAAATTATGGAATACTACTTAACTCCCCAGTGAACAATATTTAGATTGCCATAATAATACTGGGTCATTGGAAAAGTCCTGATGCATTTTTACATAGAAAAAAAAGAGAGAAAAACTCATGACTTTTCTGATGACCCAATATAAACAACATATTGACTTTTTTTAAAAGGAATTATTTTATTTAACTGTATTTATTTATTTACTTACTTATTATTTTAATTTGACCAGAGAGGGATTGGGGGCGGGAGTGAGACTCAAACCACGGTCGGTCATGTGAGAGTCTAGTACCCTTAACCATCATGCCACCTGCCGGCCCCAAACAACATATTGACTTTAAACTCTTGCAAATGATGGGTAGACAACCATAAGAGACTGACTTAATCTTTATTACAGAAAATCTAAGTCCTCAACTGTGATGATAAAAGTATTATAGAGGTCAGAACTTAGAAGGTAGAAGGAATGGAAACATCCTTTCTTCATGAAAGAAAAAGAGAGGTTAAAAGATAACGTCTCTATTTAACAAACCCAAAAATAAAAGTGAAAGCACATAATGTAAAGTTGCAAAGATAAACAACAGAACTAAAAAGAATAATGTTACCCAAGCAGAGGTGAGACTGTTAATTAGTTCCAGTCTATCTTGTGTCTATGACCATAGATCACTAAATCTGGAGATAATAATCTGAACTGAATCGACTGAAGGATACAAAGACACCTTTTTGAAGAAAGAGCTAAAAGGTAAGAAGCAATTATTTAGAAGGTAAAAAGCAGTAGGGCAGGAAATACTATTACAGCTTTTCATTATCCTACTCTTTTTTTAAATTTTGCCCAAGGATGTGTGTGTTCACCACAGAGGCACTCCTCACAGGGCATGGTCACACCATGATCCTTTAGCCTCCATTTCCCTCTCCTTTGGTGATTTTTAGGCACATACACATGAACACCAGTATGTTTTTGAAGCCATCAGTCTCAGGACTTGAACCAAGCAGTTGGCCATGTTGGATCCAGCTATCTTAACCACCATAAGCTGGCCCTATCCTATCCTATATTTTTTTTTTCCTAGAGGGAACATGCTCTCACCAGAGAGAAAGTGAGAAAGCAACCCTCAAGGGGGATGACCACACTGTAATCCCTTCTCCTCCATTTTCCTCTCAGGACTTTTGGCACACACATACTTAGGCCCAGTGCATTTCTCAAGCTACTGGGTCTGGGACCGAACTGCAGTCAGCAATATGGGATCCAACTGCCTTAACTACCATGCCAAAGGTTGACACCCTATTCTATTTTTAAAATGATTTGCTTACGTTATTTTAATCAGAATTTGAAATTTTATTTTATAAAATTCCTTTGACACAAATGCAATTTACATGTCTCCTCCCCCTGTCCCTTTCCCCATCTTCTATAGAAAATCCTCTAGAATAAGAGAAGCAAGTCCACCTCCCATATCAATTTTCTTCATGTTTCAGGTGCAGAGATGCTAGATGAAGAACAAAATAAGTTTAAAAAATGGAATTCTAGCTTTTTTAAAAAATTAATTTAATTTTATTATCATTTCTTTAAAAATTTTGCTATAGGCATGTGGGTTTACCAGAGAGATGAGAGAGAGAAAAATGAGAAAGCAGGTTGCTAGGTCTGGGACTTGAACCATGATCAGCAATGTAAGTGTCCAGTGCCCCAACCACCATGCCACCTGCTGGCCCAAAATACTGATTCTAGCTTTACAAGAAATAAATCAATGGTGGCAAGCATGGACATTCTGATAGGGGATGGCGAGATGCTAGTGTGCACAAACTCCAGAGATTCTCATTTTAAGAAAGTTGGTTGGCACTTGACATTGTGCCTACTCTAAGGTGACACTATACTGTCCAGGTGTGCTTAGTGATCGGACACTTAAAGAGAAAGAGGCAACAACTTCTCCCTGAAAATATCCTATTTACAGTGGCGCTGAAATCCACATAGCAGCAAAGGATGAATGAAGGAGCATCTCACCTCGCCACTCCACCATAATCCAAACCTTCTTCTCCACGGAACTTCACCATTAGTCGTTTTTTCAAGTCTTTCGGTCGCATCTTCATTATCTGACGGTAAGATTCCTACAGGTGAAAATGACAGTGTCAGGGAGAAGAACATATCTTACTCTTAAAGATTTACAACTATTAGAGGTTATTGATAATGAAGCCTGATTAAAAGTAAGCATCCATTCCATGTGAGTTCTGACTGGTCCCTACTACCATAACATAATGTCGCCTTGGCATCTAGTACACTGCTGCAACATCTAGTAGGTTCCATCAACTCTTTTCCTGTAGTTTCTTCGGCAGAAACAACACAAACTCATGCCAGGTAGCAATCAACCTAACAGGCGCACCTATCTGTTTCAGCACAATCTCTAGTGAGTGAGAGGGCAAACATCCTCCCTAGAGTTGACTTTCTGTGTGTTAATTGATTTCAACATTCCCTATAAACAATTTATGTATTTTATGAAACGAATATCTCATTAGAAAGTGTGAATGTTAAAAGCATTCTGAGTTGGTTTTTACATCTAAAGTTAAAAATCACACACAATTTCCTATCGAGTCAAAAGCACTAAGAGTTTAGTCAGACATAAAAGTATCTTACCCACAGTACAGCACACATGCGGTCAGCCTGACAGTCCCTCAGATTCCACATTTTAAGTGGAAGTAGCTAAATGTTTGTAGATGTTTTTAGTGATAAGGCACTTAGGAATCTTTTCATACTTTGAATATAATGCAATTCTGACTCCCATCTCAAGAGGAAAAGGGGATGTGAGTTGAAATTACCTGGCAGCAGAAACTCAATAATTCAGCTCTTTTCTATCCCTGGCAACCACTAAAGACATTTAGTGAGCAGGCAGGCACATTCGGCAACCTACTCATCCACTCTTTGCACAGACACAGGCCTGGGCAACCAGGCACCCTTGGCAGTGGAGAAGGTTGCTTGACTCCCTGTGGGGCCTCCCTCAGCTGCCACATTCAGTGGGACTCTGCGTTCATTTCTTGCCTGATCTCATTTGATAATATCCACCTATGTCTCCACAAAGGATGGGAGACTATGGCCAAACACAGTGGAAAATTCTACAGAATAATCATCCTTCTTGAGAAAAAGGCCCTGCCTGTTTAGGGACTCTGATCCTGTTTAGGGACTCTGATCCTGTTTAGGGACCTTCCTGAGGGACAGAACCCTTCCCAGGCACCATCTGTTATTCTTGTTCCTAGAAGAGACAATGAGGTGACCACTTGGCTACTAAGCTCTGAGATCAAGGTGCCATTAGAGGAGGTCCCACATGAGAGACATCAGAGGGAATGACCAGCTCTGAGGAAAAGCTACAGGCAAGGAATATATGATCTGCCTAATGCAGAGAAGGGAATTTCCCATATCGTTGTACTCACTTCTGTTTACACCTCTAGGCTTCATCTTGGAAGCTATCTAGTTTTAAACTTTTACTATAGGAGGAAACCAAATCCTCTCCTCTCCACCCAGGCCTTGTTCCTGATAAACCCTACATTTTACTTGGCAATAAAATCATCAACTGAAATATCAAATACCAAGAGAGCTCTCTGAGATGCAGACATTGCCCACTGGGCAGGGCATCTAAAAGCAGTCCCTTTAACACAAGCAAGTTCATGTGGCAGGAAACAGGGCAGAATAATCTATGCCCAACTGAATTCTATACCTCAAATATTTCTTCTCTGGATACTTCGATGCGGCAATGGCCAGCTTGGGGTTGCTGAAGTGACAGCTCGTGTCTCAGGACTTTCAGTTTCTGGACTAAATCTCTTTCATATCTCTGGGCAGGAAGCTCCTCATCCTCCACGGAACCTTCACTGGGCAGTGGCAGTGGCTGGCTAGGTTCCTTCAGTTGGCACTGGTGACTTGAGAAGAAGAAAAGCAACAAGGTCACTCCAAAGGTAATAACAAGGGTGCTGCAGGCAGCGATGCCTGCACACTGCAGGGACAGAGAGAAGGGTCATTACACACACCTTCAGGTGGAACTTTGTTCTCGGATGACCCATGTACTAGATGTCTGAAAATTGCTGATAGTCTACTCTGGCCTAAATATAGGTCTAGGTTTATTATTCAAACATAATAAAGGAGACACCCAATTCCTAGAGTCACTTATCTTGTACAGTATCACTATCAATAAATTCAGAAATTGTTATTGTGTATCATGCACCTGTTATGAGGCTGATTGACACACTATTAGGTGTGCTTTGGATAGCAGCATGACATAGAGTTAAAGAGAAATATTTTTAAAAGGAAACAAATAACTGGGGTGAAATCTAATGGTAACCATTCCTCACTTTTATCAACAAGAGATTTCCAAACCCATTCATTATGAGCAAAATGTTAGTAAAATAAAAAGACTAGGACTACTGCTATGACAAAGTAGCATTTGTTTTGTTCAAGTTTTGCCACTAATATCAGCTGTCAGTTAGAAGAGCTATGTGAGAGACCAGCAGTTAGTGTAGTGGCTATGTCACTGGACTCCCATGTAGTCGACCACAGTTCGAGTCCTGGACCCGGTGACTTAAACTCATGCCAGGCACATGTGCGTGCGTGTCCAAGATTCCGAGAGGAGAATAGAGGAGAAGAGATTGCAGTGTGGCCATCCCCCTTGGGGGGTGATTTCTTGCTTTCTGTCTCTCTGTCACTCTCTGTTTTTCTGGAGAGCACACATGCCCTATAGCAAAAACCTTTCAAAAAAAAAAAAGAAAAAAGAAGAGCTATGTGAAATATTTTGTTCTGGGAACCCCAGAAGCCTGGAACGGTGAACATGGGGCTACAGGTAATTCCCAGTTCCAGTTATCCAGGAATGACAGGCCCAGGGAGAGCCTCCACTAAGTAGCAGGAACGACCACAACTAGGCTTCCAGACATGCTGCACAGGCACTAAGGACAAAGTACATTTCTCTGTGTCCCACACTGAGGGTCATGCATCTTGTGAGATGTTACGTGTGGAAACTTTGGTAAAATCATCTTGGTGAATTTTACTTAGGCTGCGTATGAGAAAAGGGCAGCAACAACACCTGGCTCAGTACTATTCATGGCCAATCTAAGAGTTTAAAAATTCCACCAAATATTTATCGCATTTAGCTCATGCTTATGGTCCAACAAACAACAGACTAAAACAAGAAAATACTTATACAAACAAACATCCATTAAATTATAAATCAAAGAGTCAAAGATTTTTAACGAAGTCTTACTTCATGATGTGGTGTAACCTTGGGTCTGTAAACTGGGTTGTTCGGTTATTATGATCTACAAAATATATTCTCCCAGAAACGGTACTCCTGACTTCCCAACCTGGTGGCAGTGGTCCAAGTTCATCACAATTCACACTGTTAAGGTCTCTACAAAATGGAAGACACAGAGAGATTTGTCCAACTGAGTAAGGAGGAATAAAACAAAACTTTAACAACAGGAGACACAGAGGTTCCTATCAAGGTGTCTGTGTCCCAGTTCTGCTAGGATGGACAGTCATGGTGCTACTTATGCCATGCCACCCTGAGCCCAGGCCTCTCTACTGCAAACACAGCAACAACTAACAAATAAAAATGAAACTTTCAGAGCTTATAACCATAACCCGGGGGGTATAATTTCTTATATGAAAAAGGGTGAAAATAGTAGAAAGTATCTGAATACTGCCAGAAAACTAGCTGAATTCACAAATTAAATGCTCAAAGTCAGAAGGCTTGGTTCGTCAACAAAAAGTTCCCAGAAGGCACCAAGTTTTTCAAGGTTGAAGGGGATATATACTAACATGTATTCAAAAACTCTCAATTCTAAATGGTCGCACCAGGACAAGGCATTCACATTTTCAAACTGGTGTTCGGTTAAGCAAGTGTTTTTAATTCTCAGCTCTTGATGAATTATTTCAGTGCAATCTACAGTTAGCTGAGAGCACAGCATTACTGACCAGGATGCTTTTCTAATTAACACAAAAGCCTGACGTTTCTCACAGTGGAGCTAATGAGACACCTCATTCATTTGCAGGTATTGTTTCCAATTGTAATGATAGATACTGACTGGTAAATTCAACATAGACTTGGAAAATTAAAGACAAGAAGCTTATTCTCAGATGAACAAATTAGGAGTAAAAGGAAATGAGCATTACTAAAAAAATCTTATTAGGTAGTAATGCTACTCAAAAACTGAAGAAGAAAAAAAAGCAAAGAAAAAAAGAAAGAAACTTAACTCTGGTACAGGGTGGGTTGGGGATCTCTCTGACCTGGGCTCAGATGTAGGGCCTTGTAGAAGGAATTCGTATAGAAAAGCTTCATCTCCCCCAGGAATGGTCCCCAAGGGACTGAGGCAATAGGGACAGTAAAGTAGAAGAGAGAAAGGGTAATAGAGTCTTTATATTTCCTTTTTAACTTTTTGTTATGGAAAATTTTAAGCATATAAAAAAATAGATCATAATGAATTGCCATGTAACCATCTTCAACAATTACCAACTCATGTTCCATCTTCTTTCCAACAACCCCCTCTTCACTCCCCCAATCCCAACTTATTTGAAACCAATCCCAGATGTCATATCAGTTTTTCTTAGTTTAAAATGTGAGCTGCACATCTTGAAGGGTATTGCTTTTCGAGTTAAGTGCGGGAAAGCCACCTGATGGTGTGTGTTAGAAAACCTACCTTGGTATCCTGGGGTCATGCCACGTGCTGACTCCAGTCTGTGTGTGCAAAAAGTAAACTTGCCCTTGTACTGTTGTTCTTTGTTCTGCACAAGAAACGAGGGTGCACAGTTAGATAAATTTAGTTCCAAGGAGACTTTTCAATTTTCTTCACATGATTCTACTCTTTTATTCAAACACTCTTTAAAATCACAAAGAAAGGGATTTGGAAAGGGCTGTAGTTAGCTTCTGCCTGGTCTGACTTCCTCAGATCATAAGCCCTGAGTGAACAAGTCACATGCCCTGTGTGGACAAGTCGCACGCCCTGTGTAAACAAGTTGCACGCCCTGTGTAAACGACTGGGGGAATCTTACTTTCACCTGAGCTTCTCAAAGACAGGGCTTGCTCAGAGCCACCCCAGAAGAGATGCCTTTATGTGTGTCTGCCTCCTTGACCTGAACTTACTTGTACTGTAATGCCCACATGCTCTCGCTTCTGGTATTATCTGCCACATGTAGATGACAGTCCTCCTCCATTCTGGTTCTCTCTGTTGTTGTCAACTGATGCTCTCTTTTCATTCTCACCCCATGCCCTACTCGAATCACAGAGCACTATGAAAACTTTCATCTAGAAGCCAGGTCACGGTGCACCAATAATACAACTGGACCCACGTGGGATAGGTGCCATGTCTGTGTCCTAGAACCTTCCTGAGCCCTCCAGGCATGCTCGTACATGCTAGTGATCCACGCCAACTGGGGCTTGGGGTGGATTGTGGCGTGAAGACCCTGCTGGGGGTGCTCCCCACCTATCTCTCATGAAAGAAATAAATAAACTTAAAAAGTTTATCTAGCCTTAAGTTTCTTTGGTATTAGCCTGCCTAAAACTCACACATGATTTCTAAACTGAGAAATTAGAGCAACTGCTGACAATTCATGATTAGCAAGATTTATCAACATATTTTTCCTAGTTACTTGTCTTTATACTGCCACAACTAAGAAGTAGCACAGCCATGCAAATCTCAGCAGTAAAGGAATATATGAGTTACAAAAAACGGTTAAAGAAACAAAGCTCTCCAAGATAGTACAGATCACACTGGCAATGGCAGGGCCATGTCTCTCACCATAGCCTTCGGGCAGTTCTGGTGACTGGTGGCCATGCGGTCGGTTCTGAGGTGTCTGCAATGAACCTCGGACCTCGGGATTTCGAAGTCGCTGTGCCTGAAGTCTTTGATCTTGACTTGGGGACTCCACAAATCTGCAGTTCCCTCCACCAGCAGCAGCACCAGTACTATCTGTGTAAGGAGCTGGCTCCTCCATGAAGCAGCTGAGTGGCCTCCCAGGCCCCGAGTCTTCATACACCGTTCTGCAAGGCAGTGAGCAAGTGCCAGATCGCAAGATTGGACCTGACAATTCCAGGCTATGGATCACATTGGTTCATTTTGCTCTCCTTTAAGAATTCAGAATGTTCCAAGTGCTTAGTTTTATGAAAACTCCTCATGTTCCATTTAAATAGAAACACAAACACATGTTTTCAAAAGGAATAGGCAGTTAAGGGGAGTTATATTGAAAATGTCACCAAGGTCACCTGTACAAGTTCACCCTGGGGTAGAACTAGATGATTGGAAAAAAACAGTCTTACTAAGGAGCTTGTAAAACGAGACTTCATTTTTCTTGATTTAAAGTCAAATCCAAATACTCAATTTTCCTTGTTATATTATTCTATAATAAAACTGGTTACATAAAATAACCACAATGACTTGAAATACTTTTTAAACATAAATCTTCACACACACACAGAGGCAATTCTGAAGACAATTGATCCTAATAGGCTACTTTCCTTTATGGGTACTTTTAAGAACCTCTTATATTAAAGTTTTTCAAATTTATACATAAATTGCAACTAGTCAAAAGATCTCCTGTACCCATGTCCCATCTTCAGTCAGGGGCTACAGCCTCTTTAAGTTGGCACCTGAGTCATTTGGGAATAACCCTAGTCTTCTTACCAACTTCTTTTAGGAATAAGTAAACTGGACCACAGTTTTATCCCAAAGTCCTCAAGATAACTCAAACATTCAGTATGGTGAGGTAAGGTACAAAGGAGATTCTCTCTCAGGCCGAAAGTCTAAGGCAGGAGAGAACTTGGTGCTTGTCCCCCATCATACGTACCCTTCATTCTCTAACAGTCCTCGGCAGTCCACCACAGACCCTCCAGTGCCTATCCTGTCTCGTGTCTGCAAACTGACTAAAACAGAAAAGAATGGGGTACGTTAAAATCCAGCAGTATCTTATACAATTGTAAAACAGTGAGCCTTTGTGATTTATAATAGATGTACAATCTCATAACAAACAGGGATACACATATACATACACACATATATTCATTTATTTCTGTGCCCTCAAACAAGAGCACTTACTCCAATAGCTGCTTACCACACATATCATTCAGAATATTCTTCACAAACTCTTATACTCTCCATAAAAATAACAGGATGTAATATTCAGTTACTCTAAGCTATCCAATTTTTAAAGAAGATTTTGACATATGTTTAATAAGGACAGAGAGAGCACATTCAATATCTGTAAAGTCTAGATGAACCTAAATATTTATTCTCAATCTCTAATATGAACAACAAAGGCATTTTAAAACTTATTTTGAGTTATTCATCCCCCCCAACACAAACACACACACACACACACACACACACAGCATATCCCTCCACAGAAAAGAAGGAATCACGGAACAGGATTAAGAAAGAACTTTTCGTTATGGTAGTTTTCAAGATAGTCATTTATCTTGGGTTACATACAAAAATACTAAATGATATGGGAACATAACACTTCTCCTGCATGCTGCTAAGATACCATTTTCCTTGATTTCCTTGCAATGCATACAGTCAACATTCGAGTTACCCTAAAATTCTACTAAAAGTAGGGTGGATGAGCTACTCAACAGATAAATCACTTCCAGCAGAATATCTCTAGTCAACACTTTGTAACATAAGCACATTTTAATTTTTCATTTTCAATAATGCAATCTTCTGTACAGGTCATATCACATGGAATTCTTCGCAAATCACCTTTGCTTTTTACGTACAGCTTAAGTCTTCCAGAAGAAACTATCTCCCAACTCTTGTATATGAGCTATCAATCCTATCATCTATACTTGGATAATACAGGTTGAACATCCCTAATCTGAAAATTAGAAATCTGAAGTGCTTAAAAATGAAAGTTTTGAGCACCAATATGATGCCACAAGTGAAAAATTCCACACCTGACCTATCTGATTGGAAACACTGCACTAGAAATAATATTGTATAAAGTTATCTTCTAAGTATAAGGTGTATAAGAAACATAAATGGATTCTGTGTTTAGACTTGGGTCACACCCCTAAAATATCTCATTATATGTATGCAAATATTCCAAAATCCAAAACAAAGTCTGAAATCCAGAACACTCTTGGTCCCAAGCATTTCAGATGAGAGACACTTGACCTATACAATGACAAAATAGTTGTCCGTTAATGTGATAATTAAAAATTACATTTAAAGTTATAACTAAATCTTTCTGTACCTGAGTCAGTCTAACTCAACTGTAACTGACAGGATGAAGGGAATTTAGTTTAAAATTTAAAAAACTACACATGACAAAATTTTGTAGCACTGGAGAGATGGCCCTGTATGTGGTTTGTCCTTTGAGATATGTCATCATCTTCAGTGCATATATGTGTTTCTCAGTGATGAAGGGTTGAATGTTAATTTCTGTAAAAGCATCTCTTTATACAGATGAGAAAGTTCTTACCCACTATTTGGCCACGAACTGCATCAGTATCTGAGGGATTTAGTTTGCATAGATCCAAACGCTGGTCTGCAAACAAACAATTCAAAACTTAACCCAAGGAATTTTAACTAGGGAGGAAGGCAGGAATTCTGTATTCAGTATTCAAAAACACAAATGATGCCTCATAAGCTTTCTTCAGCTACATTAAGAGGCAGAATAGCATTTGATTCTTACATCCAGTATCTTTTAATCTGCTGATGGCATTGGAGAGTAACCGCACGCAGCCCAGGAAGCCAGCTCCCTGTTTCTTGTGAATTTTCTTGTGGTTCCACACACTGATGGTTATAGAATCAGTTTTCCCAACATATCTGAAAAGGACAAACTCATTTTTTACTGTATTTCTGAACTGTGATATCTCATTGAAATGGTATCTGATTGACTTAAGAATTCTTATAAAATAATGCTGGCTCTGTATTATACATGGAAAGTGCAACAGGTATGTAGCAAATATATATCTACTTACTTCAACGAGCTGGGAAAAGAACTACAACCAGTTATGTGAAGAGCAAATGTAGATAATCACGTGAAATAATAATCTTGTAAAAGAGATTTACTGTATTTAATAGTCCCATAGACCAGTGACATGATTCATAAATTCCCACCAATTAAGCTTAATAAAGGTACTAGTTTACAACAGCGACTACTTAGAAACCCATAAATCCATTCGATGTACACAAAAGGGTACTGAAATATTAAATCTCCACTTACTCTCAATGCAAGTCAACCACAGACAGGAATCTGTGGGATAAGAATTGACTATGATTTTCTAAGCTACTTATGAAACGTCAGTGTAACTGAAACTGAGTCTTCAGATATAACTACTAAAATCCTACCCAAATACAGTGCAACTTGCATTAATAATTAAAAAATCAGTATTATTTAGATGAAAATCTCTTAGCAGGAACATGAAGACATGGGTGCATATGAACAGTGGTCTTCAAAGTACAATCACTTTTTAAAAAAATACAAAGAAACTATCTGATGGTTTGTAGGCTTATATATGTTTGATCACGCAAACCATATTTTCTCATGCAATATATTTAGACTGAAAATAAAAATAATTTAAATCAACAGAAATATGTAGTTATAATAATTCACTGTTTAGGTTAAAAACTGCAACTAGGTTTAAGATTTCGCTGAAAACCTGTAGCCCAAAGAGAACAAGAAGCTTGGCTTTTCCTCTTTTTTTTTTTAAACTAAGATGGCCAGGAGATTGAAAAGTTTAAGGATCACAAAAGTCTGGTATAAACTCAAACCACAAAAATAAATAATTAAAAAATCAGTATTATTTAGATGAAAATCTCTTAGCAGGAACATGAAGACATGGGTGCATATGAACAGTGGTCTTCAAAGTACAATCACTTTTTAAAAAAATACAAAGAAACTATCTGATGGTTTGTAGGCTTATATATGTTTGATCACGCAAACCATATTTTCTCATGCAATATATTTAGACTGAAAATAAAAATAATTTAAATCAACAGAAATATGTAGTTATAATAATTCACTGTTTAGGTTAAAAACTGCAACTAGGTTTAAGATTTCGCTGAAAACCTGTAGCCCAAAGAGAACAAGAAGCTTGGCTTTTCCTCTTTTTTTTTTAAACTAAGATGGCCAGGAGATTGAAAAGTTTAAGGATCACAAAAGTCTGGTATAAACTCAAACCACAAAAATATATACAAATGCCAAATGCAGGGATTTTCAAGTACATGCATTCTATAATTACACAATATGTATTTATTTGGCTATTCACTTTTCTTATCAATAAAAAGTATTATTTTCCCCTTAAATGCGTTCTTAAAAGCTAGATGCTTACTTTCCTGCTGTTCCCCAAATGGCTTACAGAATGTTCAACTTACAGGTCATAGTGCTGGTTCCACTTTGGGTCCAACGTGTTTTTCACAGTGTCGGTTGAGTGGCACTGTCCAGACCCATCCACGACAATCTTTGCAAAAGGGTCAGGAAGTCCTAAGAGAAAGGACAGCCATACCTAGCTGAGATGCAGATCTACCAGTGTGTCACAGAACACAGTCTTCAGGCTAACGGGAGCTTCCAGAGCATCTAATTTCGTTTAAAAAAGGTCACCCTTGGACATTTTCTTCTCTAACTTAAGATTAATTTCAATCAGCAAAATAAATTACTTAGCTTTTAAAAAAAAAAAAGAGAATTATTTAACTTTATTTATTTATTTATTTAAATTTGACTAGAGAGGGACAGAGTGAGAGAGAGAGAGAGAGAGAGAGAGAGAGAGAGATAAAGCCACTAAGTCTACGACTCGAACTGCGATCGGCCATGTAGGAGTCCAGCGTCCTTAATCACCAAGCCACCTGCCGGCCCGAAATAAGTTACTTAGCCAACCCAATGTGTCTCTGCACTCAAGACTTTTTGAGGATAGAAAACAAAACAAAACAAAACAAAACAAAACAAAACCCTTAACTATAAAAATAGGCTTAAATTCAAATTTCCATTTTTGGTGGTCATTAAGTGGGGCTTTTGGTGGTCATTACGTGGGGCTACTGAGATGGAAAGAAAAAAGAGGTGTCTGAAATTAATTGTATTTGTACTTTCTAAAAACCAGTAATTCCAGAAATCTTGTTTACTGATCTCTACCTATCTTATCTATGGAAGCAAGCATTCACCATGTCTTAATTTGGTAGGTACCTAAATGTTACAGGAACAAACTCCCTAAACTCAGGCAGGTTTATCAGATCTGACAGGTGGCAAGATGTGAGGATTCCAGAGACAGACCTGGACGTGAGCTGCCACTCTGGAGTTTACAAGATACTTGGAGAAAGCCTCTGCGCCTAATTTCTTCATCTTTATTTAAAGTGAGGGTAATACCACTGAAGAACTGCTCAGTGTTCTTGGGAGGCTCAGGAAGTGTGTGAAGAACTGAACGCAGCAGGCGGCTACTTCACAGTAGTGAATTTCGTAAGCAGTCATTAATTCCTTTAGAAAAGGATTCTGTATTTTTAAATTGTTTTAATCAAAGAGCTTTAAAAATGTAATTTAATTAGTAAAATTTGATGAACAATTTTAGTCAAATCCAGGTATTTTATAGAAAAACACCCCCTTTGTATTTGAGCTGAGAATACTTCATCCAAAAGAAAGCAATATTACAATGGGTGGAGAGGCAGAGAATACAGGGTGTGGCTGGAATGAGGAATGAGAGAGATGATTTTGTTTTGTTTTTGTATGATTTATAAATTCTGTGCCTCACGGCTGAAATGCCTGAAGGCTATAGTCAGCTGGGATATGAAGTTTATCAAACCATGCATTTCTGTTCAGCTAAGGATAAGACTTTTAGGAAAATACACTCAGTGTGCTTTTTTTATGTCTAAAATTTCAGAAATGCATGAGTAACATTAATATTTTAAGAGAGCAAAAATGGTTGTTTACTTACTGAAGAAGTCTTTCTTTGCAAGGTTCTTGGCACATAATACTAAAAATAAATAAAAATACTAGGATTAGCATATGGACAAGATTTCTACCACAGTTAGTCTATATTTGTAATAGAAAAAAAAAGACTCTAAAAATTATCTTTGCCAGATTTATTTTTTAAATGTAGTATCACATTAAACACAAAATCAACAACTACTGAAAAAGTGTTTTCTCTTCAAATTGGAGATCAACTATAACAAGTACAAAATGTTTTAGTTTAAATTTAAAGTCTTACTTAAATACATACAGATAGATTTATCAATATACTCTTAGACTATATAGGATTATATAAAAACCAATTCAAATAAAAACATGAAGTATTTAACTCCACAGCTAAAGCTAACGACAACAGACGCTAGGTATTTTCGATATTCTGATAAAGAATGCAGTTTTGCTAATGTAAATTTTGGTGTGCAGGAAAATAGATGAGGGAGAGTGGGGAGGAAAATGGGGCCCAAACACAAATGACAAAATGCACGTTAAGAATTTAGCCCAGGGGCTGGTGTCATACACAACAGTTAAGCACTATGTGGAAGAAACCAGATATTACAATGGCTGCCCAGGGTCAGGGTCAGAGTCTCAGCCACAATGGCTTGAAAACCATGCAGGGCATGCACACACATGCCCAGGACCCTGACAGGATGGAGCACCGGAGAAAAAGGATTGTGGCATGCCCAAGTCCCACTGTAAGATGCTTTCTCTCTCTTTTTTTGTCTCACAAGGCTCATGCATGAACATGTCCTCTGGCACTAAAAAATTTTAACAAAAATTAAAAAAAAATTATGAACTTAATATGGTGTCACTATATAGAAAGACTGCAATTAATATTATTGCTGTTACTGTTTTATTAATGAGATGGCATCAATTACTGTTAAGAAACTTTATCATCAGACCCGTTACACAACATAAGTTATCATGTCAAGGGAGAACACGCTTTCCTCTTTGGCAATGTTTTACAAATTTGGATCATTTTAAAGAATGTAATGGTTTTTGAAGACCTTATACATATGCTGTGCAGAGGTCCAACTTTGCTCCTTTATAAGTGGATATCCAGTTGTACCAGAGTCATTTGTTGAAAAGACTACTCCAGAGTCATTTGTTGAAAAGACTACTATTTCCCACTGTCTTGTCTTGGCACACACTGAAAACCAATTCCCTGTAAGTGTGAGGGCTTATTCATGGTCTCTCAGTCTGTTCCATGATCTACAGGTCTCTCCTTGTGCCAGGACCATACTGCCTTCTTGATTACTGTAGCTTTGCAGTAAGTTTGGAAATTGGGAAGCATGAGTTCTAACTTCATTCCTTTTCAAGAATTTTTCAGCTATTCTGACTTCCCATATGGATTTGGGGATCAGATTGCCAATTTCTACAGCCAAACTCAGCCTGGATTTGATGACTGCACTGAATCTATAGCTGCATTTGGGAGCACTGCCATCTTACCAATATTAAATCCTCTGATCCATGAATGTGAGACATCCTTCTACTTATTTAGGTCTTTAAGTTCTTTCAACTTTTATAGTTTTCAGAGTATACATTTTGCACTTCTATTAAATATATTCCTATGTTGTTGTTTTTGATACTGTTGCAAATTGAATTTGTCTTAATTTCCCTTTCACACTGTTCATTGATATTGAAGAGAATACAACTGATATTTTTATATATTCACCTCATATCTTGCAGCCTTGCCGAACTCATTTATTAGCTCTAATACCATTTTTTAAGATTCCTTTGAATTTTCTACATATAAGATGATGCTGCCTGCAAATAGTTTTACTTCTTTCTTTCCTTTTTTAGCTTGCTATAGGGCATGTGTGCT